CATAAGCGGTAAACGTTTAAATATGATTTCTTTCGTTGACTACTTTAACAAACACATAACCTGAAATGCCTTAAATGCTAAATTTTCAAAAGAATATATTATACGTTTCATACAAAGTCGGTGTGCAAATAATGTTTAAATCGAATCGAATCGAAAAGTGATATTCAAATAATTCCAATAATTTGAATGGTTCGAATAGTTCGAGTATTAGAAAATTTAAATTTTTTAATTATAATCTGTCAAACAAATGAAATAAGTTAATAATTATAGTTTATTAAAATAATTATTCCTTATTAATAATTTATAATTTTCTAGTTAAAATAAACTGTTTGAATATTTGCACACCCCTAACTAAAGATAAGAAAGTACTTTTTTTTTTGTCAAAAATTATCAAAATCATATTAAACACTGTGTATTATTTATATAGAACTGAGAACTTTGTATTGAACAAGTGGTATCTATTTTTAAAAATGTATTTTTATAAAAATTTAACCTTTCTTCATATTTATGGAAAATTCGGCAATAAAACAAAAGTTAACATTAAATACATAAATTACACTCAACAATAATAAATATTATAGTAATAAAAAGTGCCTAAAGGAAAATTTGAATAACACATAATGCTTTACCAAGTTATGTTATTCTTATTCGGTATTTAATTATAACAATAACAATAACGTTAAATTGTAGTTTAACGATATTGTTATTGTCAACACTCGTTTCTAGTGGTTTATTATAGCCTAGACACTTAAAAATTATTTGGACCAATCGAGTTGGGTTTTTACAGAGTAAAAATTCATTATTTACTACTTTGGGCCAATACAAAAATTCGACTTATGTTTGATCTATCAACCTCACTTTCTACATTAATTAATTACAATTATACGTTTTATGTATCTTTTAACAAATTAAATTTTGGCTTGAAGATAAAATCTTACATGCCAAGAAGTGCCTTTTTGTGTTTTGCTCAATTGTAGCAGTCTGCTACGCGTTGGCCTTCAAACGTTGAGCTCAGCACAAAAAACTTATTTCTTGACCTAATGACAAAAATAACTATTTTTGAACCCAAGTTTATACTTCAAACGAAAAACAAAAATGGTACAAATTGATTTATTTGTTTAAAAATGTTAAAAAGCGACTGAAAAAGTTTTGCCTTGCAAATGAAAAGATTCATTTTCTTAGCAACGACACCATACGAAATTGACTTTTACATAGAGGTTAGGCTGGTTCAAAAAAATCAACTATTTTTTTTCTGAAATTTCGCACTGAAATATGTTCACGGTGCCAAAAAAAGACACCTGTAAAAACCGGACCTCTTAATTTTAATATTTAGAGGTCGCGCATCAAGAATTTCTATTTCCCATTTAAATAACATGGAAAATTTTGTTTTGTTTCTTTATAATTTTCTAGCTCATAAACTAATTAACAGATTTTTAAACGCGATATATATTCTTGTGGGAAATTAAACGCTCTACAAAAAATGTCTCCTATCATTTTTCGATAAACGAGTTCAAAATATATTCAAAGTCGAAGTTAAATTTATGTCATAAATGCATTTTTTACTTCAATTTAAGGCAAATTAATTAGTTAGTTATTCTCTTATATAAAAAAGTCATTCAAAAAATCAAAATTACTATGTTTAAATTTATTCCACTGAAACACCTACTATTTTTGGAAAGATTGATTAAAATTCTTTTTGATTGATTAAAACCTTTTTGACTGATTAAAATCCTTTTTAATGAATTCTTTCCAGAAATAGTAGGTGTTTCAGTGGAATTATTTCCTTATTGAACATAGTAATTTTGATTTTTTGAATGATTTTTTTTTATATTTGATAATAACTAACTAATGACTTGGCCTAAAATTGAAGTAAAAAATGCAATTATGACATAAATTTAACTTCAACTTTGAATATATTTTGAACTCGTTTATCGAAAAATGATAGGAGACATTTTTTGTAGAGCGTTCAATTTCCCACAAGAATATATATCGCGCATAAAAATCTGTTAATTAGTTTGTGAGCTAGAAAATTATAAAAGAACAAAACAAAATTTCCCAAGTTATTTAAATGGGAAATAGAAATGTTCGATGCGCGACCTCTAAATATTAAAATTAAGAGCTACGGTTTTCACAGGTGTCTTTTTTTGGTACCGTGAAAAAATTTCAGTGCGAAATTTTAGAGAAAAAAATAGTTGATTCTTTTGAACCAGCCTAATAGAGGTCCTAGAAAAAATATGTTTATCCATTCCAATCGGGTTTTAAATGGAAAGAAGGCGACTATAATACCATTTAAAATTGGTAAAAAGTGAGGTTAATCATTTGACAGATGTCAGATTTTATTTATTTAATTTTAAAAATCATTTAATTATCTCCTTATTGGAGTCAATAAAGTATAGTATTAAAATCGAGATCATGAACAATATTCACTCGGATGAATTAGGTCTCTCGTCTGGCGACTCGAGACGTAAATCTCATCCTCGTGAATAACAGCCTGCATTATGTCTAGTATAATAATATACTATTCTTCCCCTTTTCTAAGATTTAAAGTTACTGGACTCTTTGGGTTTAAACTCTTAAATAATCCAAGTTTTACAGGGGGGATTATTTTATCAGGTCTTAAAGTGGTTCTTTTTCTTTTGATATATTAATATTTTTGGACTATTTATTTAAAAAAAAATGTTTTAATGTTATTAATAATAATAAGTTATGATGAAGTTATAAAAATGCAAGTGAGTTTAGTTCTCTTAATATGTAATAAGTTCAGAAATTAATTAACCACGTAAAATAAACAATTTAATTTTACGAAAAAAAAAACATATAACTTCTATAAAAAAGAATAACCCCTATTATTCATTAAAAATCAAGTAAATTTTTAGAAAATGACTGATGATGTTAGACCCTGTATAAGTAATAAAGTAACCCGTGTTAACAATTCTAAAAAATTTAAGAATAAATTTTTAAGATTCAAGACTTTTAAACCGATTAATATAAAAATATAAATAGACTGTGAATTTCTAAAATACCTAAATATTTTTAATTAAAAAAAACATATGTTTATTTAAAACTTAAATACAGAGTCAAAATAGTACCTACATTATGTTTTAAGTTTTATAAATGCCATTTTAGTAACGAGCTTTAGTAGCGAACCCCGCAAGCGAGTGTTTAATAAAAACGAGTGTCCAGAAAAGTTTATAAACGAGGTGAATACTATACTTTTCCTACGACAAATACTTATTATTATCTTAAAATGATTTAAATCACATATTTGTATAGAGCCGCTCTATTAGAGCGCCATCTATGAAACAATAGGGAAATCTGTGTGTCACCGTCAAATCTCAAAATTTTTATATGTTATAAACACAGATTATAAAGGTTATAAATCGAAATGTATTCCTTTAAAATGGACAGTTTTTCACAGTGAAAGTAAAGAAAATGTTTTATGAGCACTTTAGAGTGGAGTCCGTGCCTGAATTTAAGTTATAGTTTACTGCCGGCGAAAATAAAAGGTCAGTACAATGTTCATATAAACTTTTCAAATATTGGCGTTGAGAAACTAATACTTTTGTATTAAAATAATAAAATAATTTTTACATTTAGTTATATTTTACAAGAAAGGCACTTTATTTTAACGATTGTATGATATTTGACAACTGCCAACTAACTTAAAACTAACTTCAGCCCGTGACTTAAACGCCATAAAGCCACAACTTGTCAATGTGTATTTAAAATGTCACTTAGTGTCATGGAAACGATGCGTTTTAAAGGTGAAAGTAGAAAAAATATATTTTGATGATAATTTTTTCTGTATTTAAACCTGTCTAATTTTTTTTAAATATAACATTGACTTGCAAGAAGACTTTACATGACAACCTTTGTATGACAAAATAAAATAGTTTATAGTATATTATAATGTTTGCGTAAATCATCCGAGTGAAAAATGCACATTATCTCGAATGTAATACTATGTTTTTTCTCCTCTAATTAAGTTATTTTCATTAATAACAAAATATGACATTTGTCAGACAGTTCCAACCTCAATTTTTCCCAATGTACAACTGGATTGGTCCAAATCACAATGCGGTTATAATGGTTACCATTATATACGGAAAAAAAATACAAATAATGTCAGTATAATGCAATAGAATTAGTAGAAATAAGTGCTTTATAAGATTGACACCTTTCTATTACTATTTTATCTAGCAAAAGTAGCAATATAATATTGGAAAAATTATAAATTAATTAATTATAAAATTCACATTATTATAATATATGCATATGATAAAGTGTTTGATGACACAATAATTTATTTTAAACAAGCACGACGCTCTAAAATTTGCGCAATATTACAGGAATGTCATTCCGCTTTATTTTTAGAAGTGCATTTCTAACTACAACCGTTCACACATCGACGAATTGTTAAAATTCCCTACGGGAAAGTCTATTGTACACGCCACTGAGGGCACCTGATCTCGCGCCGTTACTTTAAATAACTGGTCCGAAAAGCATAGCTAGAATTCGCGCTGACTCTCTAAGTGCTTCGAATTAAATTTGGTTAGGGGTTTATTTGTTATTTATACATAGTTTCAGCAAAGTTATCCAAATAAAACGAGAAATCAATCCTGAAAGAACACTATTTTATCAATGAAATTCTATAAAACATTCCTTATTTTAATTAAACGAATATTATTTTATTGACAAAATATAGTCAAGATTGGTTTTTGCCTTGATATTTCAAAGATTATGGCAAAGCTGCAAGGTTTTCTGCTAATGTATTAATTGAGTTTTCCGCCATTTAAATCATTTTTCAAGAACGTTGTAGATACACCAATGAAACTCAAACTTATTTTTGTATAAATATCATTTATACACTGTAGTGGAAAAATGCCAACATATGCCTCTGTACCTTTATTTGCCAGCAGAATCCTTACGCATAGTTTAATCATAGATATATTTAGATTTTGTAGTTTTCTGTGCTAATTGGATAATTACTTTCTTTGCAGACTGAATAATGGAACAATTCGAACAATTGCTGACTTGTGCCATTTGTTTGGATCGGTACAGAAATCCAAAATTACTGCCATGTCAGCACAGTTTTTGCATGGAACCTTGTCTAGAGGGGCTAGTGGACTATGTTAGAAGACAAGTAAGTGCATTCGTTCAAAAGGTTTTTGCTATTTCGAGTACTTTTTAATATGGAAAGAATCTTTTTTCAAAAGACCTAAATCTTACAAATATTTCTTCCAGGTGAAATGTCCAGAATGCAGGGCGGAACACAGGATTCCGTACCAGGGGGTGCAGGGCTTCCCGACCAACGTGACCCTTCAAAGATTCCTCGAGCTACACATTGAAATAACCGGTGAACTGCCGGACCCGACCAGCGGCCAGGTGATGGAGCGTTGCAACGTGTGCAGCGAAAAGGCGTACTGCTCCTTTTGTTCGCACTGTGATAAAAAGATTTGCGAGGAGTGCAAAGGCGCGCACATGGAAATATTGCGCAGAGAAATCACCAGAATCAACAATCAGATCCGTAGGGGTATACACAGGTTGCAAGATACGTTGTCGTTGGTTGAGAAGAACGCGCAGGGTATACAGACCAACTGTCTTTCGGTTGGAGAAGAGGTGGAAGAGATTTACAGACGCCTTAATAAAGCACTTAAAGATCGTACTGATTATTTGAGAACCGAGATCGGTAAATATTTGGGTACAGAATTACGAAGCCTCAATACTTTGAAGGATAATTTAGAGTTGGAAATATCGAACATATTAAGTAACTGCGATTTAGCTGACAAGCATATGGCCGAAGGCAATGATATGTGGGATGATTGCGAACTTATGGACACGAAAGAGATATTTTTAAAGACTGTCGAGTTTATACGAAATTTCGAATATGAAAACCCCGATTACAACAGAAAAGTGCGCTTAGTTTTGGCCCACGATCCTAACCAACTTGTACTTCATGTTGCAGGTTTTGGTGACTTAAACATAGCAAACAGCCACCTGAACACGGGCAGTCATTTGACGCCAAGTCCTGGTTTGATGCGATCGAAGAGCGACCACCGGTTGGCCGCTCAATTCAAACATAACCAGGAAGGTTACGGCGAAAGAGGTTACGGTGATCAGGACGAACCACTTCTCGGTGGCCGGAAGTTCGGCGAGCGCAAAAAAGAGCCCACGTCGACCTCCGACAGATACGGAGACCGGTACGGCAGGGGCGGCAATGATTACGGCGACGATTATGACGGGGAAACCAGGCCGACAAGGTCACGCTACTCGCGATACAGGCGCCACCAGGCTGGAGACAACGACTCTGACCAAGAACAGCCTAGAAACGTAAAATTCGATCACAAAAAGGAGGATAGAGAACGCGTTATCGATACGGAAGATGTAGCTCGAGGTCCTTTGAGTGGTATTACTCGTTTGGCCGACTCGCCGCGCGTCATGAAAAAATTGCAGGATAACGAGAGCGGTAAAAAAAAGGAAAAGGAAGCGCCTGCCCCTCCGCCGGCCGCCCCTCAGCCCAAACAGCCGGCACCAAAGAGGCCGCCGCCGCCCCCTGCCACCCGACAAGTGAGCGAGGATGACGAGATTGCGAGAATTAAGAAACAAAATAAGGCTAGTAGCTCTACTACCGAGACCGCCGCCGAAACTCGTCCCGCCGCTGAACGCACTACCCTCGCAGACTCAGGCGACAGGCACAGTGCTCAGAGGAAGACCCCCGCCCCAGAGGTGAGTTTAGATGAACCGTAACCTCATACACTGTACCTGATTAAATCAATTTAGAATATTAATTAATTAGAATATTATATATATATATGTTGTTTGCTTACTACCGTCCATTGTGATACCCAAAAAATATATTTTAACTATAAAATAAAAATAATAGTACAGACTCGATCACACATTGGCATGTTTTCTTCTGTTTTCTGTCTACTATACTACTAGCACTACCAAATACTTCAAGTACCATTAAGTTATGTATTGTGTTTTGTGTGTGAAGCATGAAGATCCCCAACCCAACACCCCTCCAAATCCTAACGAACTATTTTCTGCAGGCTGTTTCCAGCACTGAAGAAACGGACGAATCAGTTAGCTCGCTCCAACAAACGCAACGCAAAACTGCCGCCAGTAAAACCGCAGCCGCAGCTACGCGCCGTGCTTCGGACGCGGGACACAAAAAATCCGCCAGATCAGCCAGCTCTGACTCATCCTCTGATGCTTCCACTGGCTCGTCTAGTGCTATTAGAGGCACCGGTGCGCCTTTTACTACTGAAGAAGTAAAGCAGAAATACTTATCGAGAGGTAGCGTTGATAATACACCAGATAATAGAACTAGATTGTCTTCCACGGGGTCTAACAAAGATGCCAAACCGTTTCAAAGTAGATTTTTGAATAAGAGTAGCCCGGCTCCACCACCCGCTAAAGACGATGAGGAAACAGAATCTAGCTCTGAGGAGGAGACTGATGAAACTGAATCTGAAGAAGAGTCTGTTAAGAAACCTGAAACGAAAGAGATGGCTAAATCTGATATAGGGCCTTTATTGGCAAGAAGCGCAAATGCCAGAGATAATAGCGCTGAAACGGATCGTAAGAATAGTAGAGATTCTTACAGTAGTAGGAATAAATACGCATCGCCAAGAGAAGAATCGCCCAAGTACACTCGTACAAGACCAGTCCCGAAAGAAGAAGAACCGCGTTACAACTACACAAGCCGGTTTTTGAATAAAAGCAAATCATCGGCGGCCATAGCGCCACCGGCAGCGGAAGAAGACGATCATACGCGAGACGAGGATAAGTACCCGACCGGGAGGTCGCGCTACATGGCACTAAAAGAGCGCAGGCAGCGATTGGCGCGCAGCAGAAGCAACCAGCATTTCGGCGACGAGGACGACAACGACGAGCCAGTCTCTCCCACGACATCGAACCCGTCAGCATACCTCGCATCCCGTGGCTACGGCTCGGCATCGTCTTCAAGTCATGATCTTGCCCGAAGCCGGTCCACGCACGCCCTCAAATCCAGAGACAACTCGCCAGATCGCCCTGGTACGGAGAAAGATGGAGCTGCGTTGAGCTCGTGGGCGCGCTATCTAAAAAACAAGTATGGAAATAGGAGTGGAGCAAAGGACAAGGATTCCGCAGGGGCTACTTCGTTGACCCCTTCATCAAGCAGTTCGGCAACAGCAAGGAGACTTAGTCTCGGATTGCCGCTGAGGTCGTCCACCGAATTGGCCAGTTCTGATGATGATTCAAAAAACGTGAAAGGCTCCCCCACTACCCCTACAGCAGCTACGGCACAGGCAGCAGCCGGTAAATATAAAGTTTTTTTAATATAACATTTCCTCTAAAACCATTTAACTGTATAAAATCATAAAAATCTGGTTTTAAAAGAAATTAAAACTTATTTGCACTATTACTGGTTCAGCTAAGCATAATTAAAGCTTTTCTGGCATTCCTCATGTGCTAAATTATCTTAAACAAATCCACACATCATTTGTCTTTAATACAAATATAACACGATTTGTTTAATACAATTTCTTTTTTATTTGCAGTAAATCAAATTACTCCAAATATCTTACTTTATCATATTAATAAACAAGTTGATAAAAATATGTTACGTAAATGTATAATGTTGGATAAGGTTAAAGTAGATAAATATGTTTGTCTAAACAATGTATGTATGTATTTAATATGTTGACTATTTTAAATAATTATACACATTAACAAATGAATATTTAAAGTCGAGTAGTTTCTATTAATAGTAATTAATAAATAATGCATTGTTTATCGTCATTATTGTTATTTAAGTTTTTAAATTATGTTTAACAATAATCACGTTAAAAAATTATTTTCTTGTAAAATTAATTTGTCTACCCACTTTATTTTTGAAATGACTGTATTTTGCATAACTTGAGACGTGATGGGGGCAAAGAACCTATGTTATTTCTAAAAATAGACCATACAAGGTCCCCAAAAAGACATTATAAAGAAATGGATTTAAAAACGTTAACTAAAATTTCTGATAGATGAAAAAAAAATATTTCCAAATTTAGATTAACTTAAATTTTAATTTTAAGACATTTATTTTTGCTAATTGTAAAAGATTTTATTTAGTTTAACTTGAAATCAATTATTTTTATATTTGTGATCAAACTAAGTAACCAAAACCAGTCGTATTATACGCTAAAGAAATATCGCTAGTAGCGCCACCACTCGGCTGTTATCATCGTAACAAAAGTATAACTTTTAATAATCAGCTGTCAAACGCTTATGTTACAAACGACTGTTTTTGAGAATAAAGCCGGAAAAGTTAAAAAATATCGAAAAAAAAACGTGGCTCGATTTGTTGCGTTGTTGGGTGTATTTCGAGAGGAAATCCTGGGTTGAGTTTTTACCGGTTTTCCAATAAACAGTATTAATCTGAATGAAGAAATAAATTGCATACATTCTCTGTAAATATAAATTGTACCTATTAGATACAATAAATACACATTTTAGTAGTGATTAACGTGAAAAGTGTAAACATTTCAATTCAGTAAAAATCGTCAAACAAACAAGTCTTCTAAATTTTAACAGCATTTAGCATTATTAAAAGCGTTGATTAGGAAAGTCTCCACTCACGGTAAAATACCATTACATTATGTATTATATATAATATTATGTTGCCATGAATTCGTAGGTATATTTTGTTGTTTAAAATGCATTTGTCGGCGTTTTTTAGAGAACTCAAATATAAAAATGGTTGATTTTAAGGTTATTTTTGTGCAAAAATTATTTTTTACTAATTTCTTACAAATGTCCAAACTTAAATATAAATTATTTTAGGTAAAATTATCATTAGTTAATTCTGCACCAACAAATGTACTTACCGAATTGGATCTTTTGGCAAAACATGAAAATGCTTTAAATGTATTGTTGACAATTCTTAAATTCACGCAATGCATTCGAAGTCCACCAGATGGCGTGCACGTTGTGAAAACCAGATACTTCTTTAGTGTATCAAGGCCGTATTACAGCCGGCAATTCTTCTTGCAGCAATTTTTCTTGCCATTATTTAGTAGAGATATTTAAAAATTAATGAGTGAAATGTCTACTAGAACTTTGAACACAATGCCAATCATAAAACAAATAACCTTAAACTGTTTAAGTCAAACAGAGTCTCTCTAGGGAATTTGTAGTAGGGTTGGTAACATAAAAGTTACCAGATTTCACCCCAGAATTGCCGTAAAACGGCAATAAAAATCCATCCGGACCGATTTTCGGCAATTCCAAGAGATTCGTCGAAATGTATCTACCGCGCATGCCTACGGCAATTTTCATTGCAATTGCCGAAAGAATTGCCGGCTGTAATACGGCCTTAAGGCTCCACTATTTTTTGTGACTGAATGATATTGTAAATCTAAATAATTTTTTTTTCAAAGGCATAACAATACTTAAATTGCTCTTTCACTAGGTATCGCAGTGGCAGCGGCAGGTACCTCCCCTAAGAGTCAGTACCTGCAAAAAGCCCAGCAGCTGTTCGAGCTAGGTAGTCGGGGGAGCGAAGCCGGATGTTTTACGTGGCCGCGCGGCGTTGCCGTCGGCCCGGACAACAGCATCGTCGTCGCCGATTCCTCCAACCATCGCGTGCAAGTGTTCGACAACAATGGCCGTTTCCTCAAGGAGTTCGGCCAGTACGGCAACGGCGAGGGAGAGTTCGACTGTCTCGCCGGCGTTGCCGTCAATCGCATCGGCCAGTACATCATCGCCGACAGATACAACCATAGGATACAGGTAGGGAAATTATGCACGATCTGACAACATTGCTAATTTTTATTCAATTGAATAAAAACTGTTGTTATTTTTATTGGTTTAGAAGATATGGGTGAATCTCACGAAATGTCCCCCGATGGTGTTACCCCGTGATATTTAATAAAACTACATTGAGTTTGACCTACACTTTTATTGTGTTTTGATTTTTCATAATTAAGTAGATATTACAGCTCAGGTTCCAGATTTTTAACTGCAATTAATTATTTTTTACAATGTTTTAAAAGTCTAAAACCTATCCTCCGTGACTGTTACTCTTTCTAGGTTAACCTATATATTTTTAAATATCTGAGGTAGTAAAAGCATACTACAAATATCGGTTCACTAAGTACATTAAACACATCCAAAGCAATCGAATCAAATATAAAATATTTTTAAAAATTAAAAGAAATAATTTTTTTGACCATTTATGTAGGTGTTACAAAAATTGATTCTATCCTCCGTGAATCTGTTTTTGCTTTAAATTTTATGCAACCGATGGCGCTTTAATCATTTTAAATAAGCAAGAACCTCTGTTTACGACATTATAGATGCATGTGATTCCTGAGATTCAGTTAGAATTTTTATGCAGATGAGAGTGTTGATGCTTCATAATTTAAAAATTTAAGTTCATTAATTTGCTATTTAAGAATCTATCCACCTTGAGGTGTAATATCTCAGTAAGTAGATTTTTTTTATAAATATTTTATGTATGTACAATTATATTTTTAAAAAATATTAAGGTGTTAAAAGATACAATAACTTATTTCAAATATACAAAGGGATGTTTAAAAAAAACATACGAAATTCTAACCACCGAAAAGCTATCTTCCGTGAAGCTCTAATATTCAAAATGTATGATTTCTTAAAATTCTTGCATTAGTGCAGAACCACTTATGTTATGTTATTACTAGACCTGGTGGCTTCCCAAAAACCCCATTCTAGACTAACAGTGAAACAACCAAAATTAAAAAATAATCATTTTCACTTGGGGGACATCTAAATATATTCACCCATATATGAATTTCATCACAAATGAAAAAAGATGAATTTGATACAATTTTTTCTTAAGTTTTTGTTAAGACTGTTATACTGGACCAGCGCAATATAATTAGAGCTCGATTATCTTCTAAAGTAGTTTCACCTAGAATGCTCAAATTTGTCTATTTGTGCTATTACTCCCCGACTCAAAAATATTGTACGGCTGATTATTTTCAATGTTGCCACTGTTCGTTTTTTCTATATGATAAAGAGTTTAATTTTTAACTATCTGTCATTTAAAATTGCTTAATTTTTTAAATCGGTATTGAATTTGATTTGGATTTGAGAGGTTTTAGTTTTCATTTATTTAAATAAACTCTACACAATTGTCGAATGGAGTTTTCATTAAATCAAACCAAGGAGATCCTTGGTATGTAGCTATTGATCCTTATGCATGTAAAAAAATAATCATTAGAAATCAATTTTATAACCAAAATTCGGCAATTTTTACAAGAACCACTGTATAAATACAGAAGAAGAGATTTCCCAAATACCAATTTTGACACGTAGAGGAAATGTGCCTAATTTCTGATACATTTTAAAAACAATCAGAAATTTTGTACCTAGTCAAAATTAGTTTTTTATGCTTCATCTATATTTTTTATTGCATTGCATTGTAAAGAAACAAAGATTATTATCAAATAGTTAGTATATTAAACAATAATATCATAAGATGTAATTTTTTCGCACGAGGACAAATTAATAGACGATTGCGAGAAAATGTCCTATGACTAAGTTCTTGGTACTATGTTTTGTATTTGTGAAAATTTTAAGAAAAATTCGAATTATAAATTATATTTGCCTATCCTACTGTTGCAATGTATTGTACCATGGAGACAATGTTTTGGATTCCTAATTTTGCATATCCGAAATTAAAAAACTGAACCTATTCGAAATTAGTTAATTTTATACTTTTTGGGTATTGACTTTTGGCATTTTTTTCATTTCCTTATTTGTTTTGTGGAGTGGTGAGGGAGGCAAGGTCTAATGTTTACTTTTTGACCTATGGCCTATGACCTTTGACCATTGACCTTTTACCCTTTATCATAGTTAACGTACTAATTCCACTCGAACGAGGTCGCAGATAACTGCGCTAGTACTAAATATGCTCACTTTGACTTCTTAAATAGCATTAAACTAAATTTCCGTTTAATACTTTGTTTAATTTATCACTTACACCACTTTTAGAAATCAGGCGACTTTTCTTTACAGTTAATTTTGCATTATCATTTTTTTTTTAATTAAGTGCATAAGATAATGCAACAAATTTAGAATATTTCATTGAAGTAGGACAAAACTTGGAATTCACAAATTTTCGCTTAAAAAACAATAAAAGGATATTAGATGTATAATTTTATTAATTACCCAGAATCTTAATATACATATACAGTGTCGGGAATTCCGGAATTTCCTAGCCAGAGAGAAGCAAGAGAGTAATGGACAAAGCGATTACACAATCAATCACAATACATTCTCTTATTCGTTGCATAAAGGAAAGTAAGACATTTTTGACACTGTATATAATGTATATTATAAATATATAGGTAATTTTTCAGTAAAAATAAAATTAGCCTGGAATATATTTTTTGTTTGTTTACAATACAAAAACAATTACATATTTTTTTGTTTCAAAATTATTTGGAATTTTTTTTTTAAATTTTAGAACTAGAAAAATTGTTGTACAACCGTTTTTAATTGAAATGGAATACTTGATAAAGTTCTAATATTTAAATTAAAAAGAGTGTTTAATTTGGAAAATTTTAATTTTTTATTTAAATTCTATGAACAAATATATTATATTTTTTTGAATCTATAACTGTTTAATACACTTTTCAAAATTTATTTCAACAGATCATTGCCTACAAATTCTTAAGTAAACCGTTAAAATATTTAAAGTATTAATAATTGAGGAGGATATGTTACAAAGGGTTTCAGTGCCAATTCAAGTATTTTTAGTTATTCATGTAGAAAAAGTATATAATATATTATGCTCTGCCTAATGATACAGGAAAGGTTATAAGTGCCGGCGATGTATTTTACAATAATATTTGAATTTGCACTAAGACCCTTGAACTTGTACTCTTCAATTGTTGATGACAGCGCTCTTCGAATAAGAGCTATAAGCTTTAACATGCATGAACAATCCAGTGGGATTAAAATTTGAAATTACAAATAAGGATGGGTGGGATTATGTTTTAATGCATTTTATGATGAGAAATTATATTTGATACATTTGTATAATCTATAAAAGGTATCGATCCTTTGCACACATTCAAAACTTTGGTCATAATTTTATATTGCAAAAACATGACTTGGTAGCAGTGTTTGTCTCTCTGCGAGCTTTTCCTCATATAAAATTATTGCGTTTAATTTTCTACTAAATGCTTTTTAGGCGGCGTGTTTCTTAAAATTTGCAACTTTACTTTCTATAGAAAGTGGTTTCTATCAAAATTAATTAACAAATCAGAGCAACGGATTCTTTGACGCAATCTAGTGTGCAGTAAAGAATGCGATACTCTGATTAGATAGTCACTTTCGAGAAAAACCACTTTCTATAGAAAGTAAATTTGAAAATTTCAAGAACTGTACTGAAAACGCTTAACTTGACATTGAAAACAGTTATTTCTATCAAAAGTTCTTCTTTAATCTTAAGAGTTATATTTACCTTAAGTTCTTCAGTTGACATTCTTAATAAACATATTTGTATCTTAAGTTGACATTCTTAAAACCGTTATTTCGAATATAAATCTGTTTTTTTATCTTTGTTTAAAAAATAACATATTTATCTTACCAAAATCCTTATAAAACTACCTCTATATAATCATATAAATTCAATTAAAATATTACCTTGGCAGCAAAAAATCAGATATCATCAATTTCCAGTAGATAATCCATTCATTTATGATTTATAAAGAAAGTTGGTCCGTAAAAATCTGGCAAAAATGATGAATACATGTCAAAGAGAAAAATTAATTACTTACCAATGGATAAATTCACGTTTCCCCCGTTATAAATTGAGAGAATTTACGGGCGCGATTAATTAATTGATGTAATTTATGAGCCCAGTTACCTTGGTAAAGGATTGCTGGTTTAAAAACGAAGGAAAATTCCAATTAACACTCTTGATAAGTGTATTTTGTTAATTAAGTCATTAGAATTTATTAGTATCTGTGATACAATTGCTGTGTGCAGTCCCGGTTGCATAGTATGTACCGATTGCAGCAAAGGCCACGTCGTTTGACGGTGAGGATCACCTGATGTTCTTACATCTCGACTCTGTTGACTTAACAACCGAGCATATAAGCTGAGGGAGTAATTTGTTTTGATTGTGTTCCACTACACCAAGTTGCCCGACACTGATGAGACCCAATAAAGGTCGAAACAGCTGTCTGTCGGTATTTGAAGTTGGTGGAACGCATTCAAAACAAAAAACTTTGGCGAGGTGTAGGTTCAATTTTTTCTTATATTCTTATGAATATTACCAGTGATGGGTCAAGAAAGTTTCTTAAAGAAACTAAGAAAATTGAATGTTTACATTAGAATTTAGTTTAAAACTATTTATTTACCTATTAATGATTGTTTTAGGTCTTTGATCCTTCAGGAACATTCTTAAGATCCTTTGGAAGCCAGGGAACATCAGATGGCAGATTTAATTACCCATGGGGTATAACAACAGATGCCCTAGGTTTTATTTACGTTTGTGATAAAGAAAACCACAGAGTGCAGGTAAATTTACATTCTCTAACAACAAAATACGATGCTAATGACATTTTTAAAGGTTTTCCAATCAGATGGCACCTTTGTGGGCAAATTTGGCTCCATGGGAAGCAAAGAAGGTCAACTAGAACACCCGCATTACATTGCAGTATCGAACACCAACAGAGTAGTTGTGTCAGATTCAAACAACCACCGCATTCAAATTTTCGATGTCAACGGCAAAGTTATAACGTCTTTCGGCACTGAAGGCTCTGAAGAAGGCCAGTTTAAGTTCCCCAGAGGTGTAGCCGTAGACGATCAAGGCTACATTTGCGTGGCAGATTCTGGAAACAACAGAATACAGATTTTCCAACCCGATGGTACTTTTTTGAAGGCCTTCGGGTCCTGGGGACTTGGCAAAGGCGAGTTCAAAGGTTTGGAAGGTGTTGCCATGACGCAAAATGGACATATTCTTGTGTGTGATCGAGAAAACCATAGAATTCAAGTGTTTTAAATTTCGATTAATTCTTCTAATATTTTTTTCAATGATAAAGTGTGTTATAACTTACAAACAATAAACTTATTTGCATTTCTTTAAACAGTTATTTGTTATTTATTGACCCTTCAAGTCGCTACAGTCAATTTAATCTTGTGAACTTTGAACTCGCTCTAATGTTACTTCGCATTTATGTTTGAGTCAATTAGGTTTTAGAATTTTTTTATTGAATTCTGAATTATTTTTTTTCTGCGTGCAACACTGTAGGTACCCAAAACAAATAGCCAAAATATGAAAATTCATATTTACTTGCGTATAATCAGATCTCTTGTTATAACTATATATAACTTATAACAATAAAATAATAATAAACTTATTATTTTGCATTTGTTCAAAAAGATTTTTTCTTACTACCTCGACTCAAAATACGTTGTTTCGTCCCCGATTTCACGGCAGAAAGTTTACGTTTCTTGCATTGGTCAAGCTATACGCGCACACTCTAATAGCGGGAGTAAAAATTTTTTAGTCGTGTGCTTAACATTCAAATTTCGTACTGCCAACATGAGAAACACAAAAATATGACAGTTTTAAACCATAATTTTGCAATTATAACAACAAATAAACAATTTATGTTTTTACTTTTTTACTTTTTATGTTGTTTTAAGTGTTTAATGGTACTTTTATTTGTTATAAAGTAGTAATTTGTTAATTAAAATACAACCTTTTATTTTTACTGTATTGGCACCGCTGAATTACCATGACAACGCTACAGTTTGATTGATTTTGAATGTAAACGTCAGAATTAAATTAAACGTCAGATTTTAATTTTGACACAAGTTTTTTTATATTCATTTAATTTTTTCCCGTATTTTCTGCGGGGTAGCAAGAAAAATAGTATACACTACACGGGCAGAAAGTGTGAGAGCCCTGAACTGCGCGCCATGATGCCCTCGGCTTCGCCTCGGGCATCATGGCGCGCAGTGCAGGAATCTCACACTTTCTGCCCTTGTAGTATAATATACTATTACCATTACCATCAAAGTTTATAATAAGTATTGATGAATTAAGTTATGCCCTCAAAACTTTATGAAAATATATGTAATTCGCTCTGAGAAAAGGGACCTAAGCGTCCCAGCGCTAATTTTAGAGGAGAAAAAAGATGACAGAAATTTGGAATGAAAAATTCTTTCTGACTTGAGATAGTTAAAGAGGATTTTTTAATAAATAATTATTAATCTATAATTATTCTTTCTCATCAAAACCTCATTCTTAAATGGTTTGACACAACTTACCTAAAAAATTTCCATAAATTTTTAACTGACTATTTCCGGTCTTAATTTCAATCAATCACAAACGTGCAATTTTGAATTACAAATTGTTTCTAGGTGGAAAAACTGTATGATAGCACCTGTCAGCAGTTTTTTCGAGTTTAACCGCAGCAAAACTTGACAGCTGTTGTCACCAAAAATTGCAATTTATATTTTAATTGTTAACTGTTACTCATGAAATAGTCTTGTCAAATACCATTCGGGTATCTAATTTTTCCTGTGAAAAAAATCGAAAAAACACAATACTAAGTATTATTTTTTTAACAAAATACTTTCGTGCAGGTGCAAAAATCCTCGTCTTCGACTCGGATCTTTGTTGCCACCAGTACTCATTCTTCTTGTTAAAATATTACTTAGCAACGTGTTTTTTCGATTTTTTTCGGAAAAATTAGATGCCCTTATGATATTACTTACGATAAAACAATATTTGGCATGAACTCCCTGCTAGTAGACTAAAAATTTCTCAAATGAGCTACAAATTTTGACATTAAAAAGAAAATTAATATTTAGTATTAAAAAAAAATTCTACTCATTAATATTAATTTAAGTTATAAAAAATATTGATAAAAATTTATTTGTTTAAGACTTAAAAATGTGCGATTGAACATTTCTGCACCGTTTAATTGAAAAATCATTGAATGACTAAGAGGTCTTAGAGTTTTGTAAGCGGCCACCCAGCAAACACAACAGTAAAGGTTCTTTAATAGCCCTTTATAAACGTGGCTTTAATGAACTAAAGGCCCTATAAAGGTTACCTCTAATGGAACTATACATATTATGTCGCGTTTACCTTTAAGGGGCATGTAACGGCAATCATTACACTGAAAGAAATATATACTAAAGTTAAATAAAAAAATAATTAGGGCAAATATATTTTATGTTTCATATATGGACTACCACATACATTGCTAAAAAAAATATATTCGTTTGGTTAGCAGCCTATTGCTGCCCTAGCAATATAAATGTGTTTCTAGCAATATTTTTTTGCTGTAATTCACATATAGTTTACATTTTATAGTAAGGGTAAGTTTATTTTTATTTAGATCTAACATATCTTCTTTACAATAAATGTATTACAAAATTTAACATACATTTATAATAAACAGTAGTATAAATGTGTAAAGCACTAGTATAAAATTGTTAGTATAAATTTGTATTTACTTTTAGCAACACATTTCTTTCAGTGTACAAGATCCATTCCATTTTTTGAAATGGCGCGCTAATAGTTTAATATGGCAGATTAAAGGTACTAATGTGGCAAGCTAAAGTTTCTGATATGGGGTGTTAAATATTCTATAGTAGTTATTTAAATACCTTTAATGGATAAGTGAAGTATCTATTATGGTGGATTAAATGAGGATATTCAAAGATAATCAGTTGTTATCCCTACCGTCACAATACAATTTCTGACGGTCGGGATAAAAATAAATATAAACAAATAACATTTAATCCATCATAATAAATACTTTACTTATCCATTACATTAATTAACATATTATTATAAAATGTTATTATAAATACTAAAACATTCATAAATTTACAAGAAAAAATACAACATTGTGTGGTTATAAAGACTTATATAAGTAAAACATACAAATTTTATTTTAAAAACTGTTTATTAGATAATAAACGGAATCCATAATATTTAAATAAATAAAAAAATCCTTAACATAAAATTAAAATATATATTTACAAATATGTTTAATTGATTTTTTTGGCAGATTATCCTCTATAACAAATAAAAACAGGTTTTCTTTGAGTCATTCCAAATAAAAACACCAAATGGGGTGCGCTGCGTGATTTTTTATTTTGATGAAAAAATTTGAGGATGATCTTTTAGGTGTCAAATATGAAAATCCGTTGCCGTTTTAATTTTTTGTTGCTTTACTTTTATTTGGCACCCCTTAGAAGTCTGAAATAGTGTCAATTTCTTACTCTCTTATAGCGGGCCAGAACTTTTTTCTGTGACAAATATTGAAATAATTTTAATTTTATTTTACTGTCCAGTAAGTGTGTTTTCGATATAAATTATTATTATCCAATTAGTTAATCTCATAAAAGAATGGTAAACCACTAAAGATTCATGATAATTTGCCAATTAATGTGATTTTTGTCTGGCTCCTGTGCCTATTCTACTGAATTTAGAAGGTTCATTTTTTTCAGATATAAAGTACTTATACAATAGAAAACGTAACTATTATTTTAAGTTTCTAGACTATCAATTTCTTTATTAAAAAAATTATTGAAAATTGATAATTCTCAAAATTAGCCAATTTTGCCCTCAGAAATCATTATGTTGAGGAAAAAATAAAAATCTGAAACTTTCAGGAAATGTAGTCCCCACCTTCATCTTTTCAGTCCAGTTAGTCTTGTTTTGTTATTTTTATTCCTTTAAAAGATATATTAATTTTTTTAATGCCCGTTTAGTAGCGATATTGTTAGTTTTATTTATAATTTAAAATTTAGATGGCTTTCATGTTTGGTGGAGAAGTGTCAGAACTGTCAAAAATATTTCATAAATATTATTTGTGCGTATTTTTTTGGTAAATTTTGTATATAACATAATATGTCATATTATGTTATATATAAAACTTTTAAAATCACCAAAGGAATACCACAAATAATAATTATATAATATTTTTGACAGTTCTGATATTTTTGGTAGTTATGTTATATTTTATGTATTGAAAAATCATATGATTATATATTATATACATTATAATGAAGTATTTAATTGGCTTAAAGAAGATAAAAAATATATTCAAGATCCTTATGGTTTATATCGTTAAGTATAATAAGTGAAATTAATAAAGAGTTAATTTAAACGTATAAAAAATGCGTTAAGCAGTTTTTTGTCGGTTTCTTTCACAATTTAAACCAAGTTAGTCTTGTTCCATTATTTTGATCCCTTTAGTAAGGCACTAAATAGTAAAAAGTTAAATGTATGTATTTTAAATGTTAGTGTTGGAAAAAATTTACACAATCTGTAAATACTTCTTTAAATTTTAGTTTTTAGGTAACTGGTTAAAATAAAACATGTTATAATAAAGGGATTTATTTAGAATATTTTTTGGTTTTTGCTTATTTTTAACAATTTAAAACTTCTCAGAACTTAAATATTTTCTATAAGAAAGAGGTACAAAATTATGATATGTCCTTGCATTTTTAATTGCAATTAAATTCATGAATCTCGAACACTCCGTCATTTATTACACTTGCAAACTTTTTGAAATCACAATTTAAATACGCACAAATAAAATTTATGAAATATTTTTGACAGTTCTGACATTTCTCTAACAAACATGAATTGACAAAGTCAAAGCTATCTAAATTTTAAATTATAAATAAAACTAACAATATCGCTACTAAACGGGCATTAAAAAAAATTAATATATCTTTTAAAGGAATAAAAATAACAAAACAAGACTAACTGGACTGAAAAGATGAAGGTGGGGACTACATTTCCTGAAAGTTTCAGATTTTTATTTTTTCCTCAACATAATGATTTCTGAGGGCAAAATTGGCTAATTTTGAGAATTATCAATTTTCAATAATTTTTTTAATAAAGAAATTGATAGTCTAGAAACTTAAAATAATAGTTACGTTTTTTATTGTATAAGTACTTTATACCTGAAAAAAATGAACCTTCTAAATTCAGTAGAATAGGCACAGGAGCCAGACAAAAATCACAAAAATTGGCAAATTATCATGAATCTTTAGTGGTTTACAATTCTTTTATGAGATTAACTAATTGGATAATAATAATTTATAT